ATTTCCTTCACCGTAAGACGAGTGGTAATCATGTTGAAAATGTCTTACACATGAGAATATTATAGTTGCGAGACTCGGGATTTGAACCCACTTCCCTTGCAATCAAAATCAAACACATTACCCCTGGTCTACCACTGAATAGAAACAACAAAATTCCAAGAATATATTTGTATTATTACAATTATGACTAGATAATAAAAAGTTATGTCTTCATAAAGACAGAATAAAACAATTAACTCGAATGAAACGCCACAGCGGGACGCATCTAATACACATTTGGTTTTAAATAATTTGGTGGTATATCGCATGGAAGTTATTCATCAAGTTTAATCTACTCTCGCACGCAACAGTACCACGCGATTTGTTCTGTAAAAATGGTAATGATGGCCTATAAACGTCTCTTTTTACCACCTCCTTATATTTTTCTTTTAAGTTTATTAACTGATTTGAAATATTAGAGCTTGGGCAATTTTACTTTATGTTTAGAAAATATTTTTTCGAAGTTGCTTTATTATATTACGTTTTAACGTTTAGTATAGATTTCTCAGAGATGAGATATTTTCCCGCAGTAAAAAAGTATTATATATGTTGACCCGGATAACCAGCTATCATCATACGAAATTTCATCAAAATCTGTCCAGAAGTTTTCTCGCGATGCGATTCAGACAGACAGACAAAAATTCTAAAACTATAGATTCGGCCTCTGTATCGATAATAATTACTATTTCAATAAGATTTTCCTAAAAATATTCAATGTACAGATTTAAATTACTTAGAATTTTATTATATGTTATAGACTAGTGGTACCTACACCCTAACTTCGCTCAGGACATCATTACATTTTTAGTATTTATTGCTATATATTTTGAAATACAATGAAAGTAATCGATGTACCACGATGGTTTTATTTAAAAAAAGTCACATTTTCCTGAGTAAAACAAGGAAAAGCAAAGAAAATCTGTCGCATTTTTACTATTGGTGTTCAAAACAGCTATAGTAAGTGTAAATACCTCTTATAGAGGTAAAGTGAGAAGACGAAGATCATTTATTGCTTGTTAAGTACATTTTCTTGAGTATATTTTTATCAGTATACTCGAAATAACGATCTATTATAACCGAAATGTGATTAAATTAAAAAGTCAATAATATTACTAAACTTTAATTAAATATCAAATAAAAAGTCATAAGTCGTATGGGCGAAGAATTCAGTTAGTTGTTAGCTAAAATACTGTGCAGTTCCCAGATTTTTTACAGAATATCAGAAAACTTACTTTAGAGTAACTAACTAGTAGAATCCGCGGCTTCGCTCGTGCTAAAACTACAATAAAACTCTAAAAAGTGGGTTTCATAAAAATTTTCATCCCCTAATTTTAGTCCCTTGAAGATTGAATTTTGAAAAATCCTTCCATAGTGGATGCCTTCGTCGTATGAGGAATACGTGTGCCAAATTTCAATTTTCTAGCCTTAAGGGCCTCTGCGTTGATACATCAGTCAATCACTTTTGCTTTATATATATATATATATATATATATATATATATATATATATATATATATATATATATATATATATATTAAATCAATAAACCTCTTATTTTAAAGCTACAAACCACATACAACCATATGAATGGTCAAATAACTAAAATTAAAGGTCGAGCTTCCCAAAAAGGTCATTACTCTAAGCCCCCGGCTATCGGTCGTGGATTCGATAAACATAGCTTTGTAATTAAGAGTTACCCTAATGCTTATGATTTACTATTTCCTGTCAAATGGATATAATAAATTGATTTGTACATAACGACTGGCTACGTGACCAGATTATTTTTAGACGAGATTCTATTTTGATGGCTATCTATATGAAAATCAGCTATATACCTATAAGCAATTATATATACGTCCATATGTAACTTTTATTATTATTTTTTATATGCTGGGACATTAATACACAGCACTATCTAGTTCCATTGTTAACTACAAGGCTTGTGTTATGGATACCAGATAGTTGATACACTATACATATATAACTTTAAATACATACACATTATAAATATAAACACCCATGACTGGAGTACACACATTCGTGATCATCATACAAATGAATGCTGCGGAACTCCAACCCGCGACCGCTGACACAGCAAGCAGGGTCACTACAAACTGAGCCAAACGTGTCGTTACACTAATTTACATTAAAATATTGCTGCTAAAAGCTATGTAAATGTTCAGAGAAAGCTAGTTGACCGTAGTATTTTATTTTTTAACCGTAAAGATTATCCACAGTCTACGGTACCCAGTTAAACTCTCGAGAATAATTGAAAGCATCGAGGGCTAAGGTAAACTTGGCGAGGTAACTTGGAATTGCGGTTTTATTTAGTTTAAGCACTGCGGCCCGATTTGTCTAAACTTGGTCGTGTTTGTTAACTCATTAGGATCTTTGCTGCATAGCGTTATATGTATGCTGTATGTATCAAAAAGTCATTATTGAGAATATTTATGTAAGTACATTATAATACTTTCTTAGATTTACGCGAATATTTGACATTTTAAATAAAACTACCTTTTCGGATTATTTCGTCTGTCTGTAACAAGTATACAACGCTTATGAGACGTCTAAAACCTTAGTCTCTCCCGTGACCATGATTGCTGTACAGATAAAGTATTCGAAACGTCGGGAACCAAAAATCAAAATAATTCCGCGAAATAATCCGAACAGATAGTTTTATTTAAGTACAATGTTTATTTAACTTGCACTATATTTTATATTACTGGCAACTTGCCCTCATTTTGTTCTAGTCCATACCTAGGGGCCTAACAGTAGCCCATGTGTTCCTTCAGATTATACCTACACTCTATTTGTACATACCTATACTAAATTTCATTCAAATCTGTACAGCTATTTTAAGTTAATGGAGTAACAAACATACATACATACATACATAAAAACTTTAGCATATACTATAGCAGTCTGATTGTATTCATTAATATTCAACGTATTCGATACAACTAACATGTTATCTATAGGCTGGGCACACATTCAAACCCAAACTAGGTGAACAATATACAAAAACAGACGTCCCAAATAGATGGATAAACAAACATACACTTATTTCCATATATATAGACACCAATATTATTATCACCAGAACATTTACATATTATATTTAAATTTTCAGGTAAATCTATTTATTTTATCTGAGGAGAACGCATTCAGTAGAAGGGTTACATAACGGGAGCGCGTTTTACGAACATCCTTTCATTTGACCGTTACGACTTCTTGCATACAAATATACTTTGACGCTCTATCCAAAGTGAGCATGTGAAGGTAAATACTAAGGTACACCTATCCCTTTTGCTATGTAACTGGTAAAACTTTACTCGATATTAGGCCTAAAGTGTATACGTTTAGAGATGATAACTCCGTAAGGGTTTTAGGTGTTTATGTGTATGTTGTGTTGGTACGCTTAGCTCACAAAGCGGTGACGAATGCGGCCGTATCCTGTGTCCGGCCATCATTCATCCCACGGACTCCATGTGCCGGTTTATTTTGTTGTATATGGCAGACTTTATGACCGAATATTACGGGACTCGATAATTTAGCCTCCATATTATATATGAAAGTGAATATGAAGTAAAATAGTTTTGTAAATTATACTATAACGTCTATAACTTATTCAGTAAGCGAGTGTAATGCTTTAAAAAAATCCCAAGATTTAAAATATATTATAGAACAAAATACACATATATATATATATATATATATATATATATATATATATATATATATATATATATATATATATATATATATATATATATATTAATTACTTCAACCAGTAATCAAACTCGCTATTGTTATTGTAACAACAGAAGAACCCTTAATGGTTGTGCCAGACGCCCTTATAATGAGTAACGTCTAAACTAACATACACGAGAACAAACTGAAAATATTGTATTCATCGTTAATTAACGTCTTGTGTCAACCCATGTTACGTGCGGTAAGAGTCAGACAGTAGAATTTCAAAAAGCGAGGCACACTAACAAAGTACCTTTTATTATGGAGCGCATTTGGCATGTCAAAAACGTTTTAGCATTTTCTCGTCTTTTCGTCTCAAAATTTTCCGCCGAGCATTTTATCGCCTCACGCGGAGCATTTTTATAATTTCCGAATTTGCACAAAGCAATGGCGTATTTAAGTTCTCGACATATGAGCATCTTTTTATGGCAAAATTAAATAGATAATGAGTAGGATCTCTCTGCAATGTTCGTTGAATGAAATGGTTTGAGAAATTATAAGTCCATATATTGGATAGTTATATTAATTGTTCCTTATAATTACAAAATCCATGTCTGCTGAGGTCTTAACTAAAGACTATGATAAGTCATTTGTGTATAAACTATATTTGTATATAATTATATTTTTTTTCAATTCTAAAAAATAAAATTCAATCAATTCTTATCAATGAAACGTCAAAATTGGGATATTTCTCAGTTTCCAATTGTAGAAAGTGAAAGGTATACCCAACGGTGTCGCGGGGAGATGGGTCGGCAAGGGAGTGAGATTGTAGGCAAGACCAGGGGAGAGAAGGGCAGGGGAATGATACAAGGGTAGAAGGGCTGAACGGGTACGAGGGGGGTAACCGGAAACAGTACCGGGCGGAAGCGCAGGAACCCTTTGGCGAGCTTTGTTTGCCGTTTTCTTACAACTATTACGGGACCACGGTTGACGAATTCGAGGCATTGTCTTTTTAACGAAGGTCCTTTGCGAGTTTTATTGTTTTGTGGTAAATAAAGATATGAGCGTATGAACTATATTTGATATTGCTTTGTTTTCGTCACATGCCGGTGATCATTATAAATGGTATATTTGTTAGAAGTTTTGGTAGAAAATAATAGTTATAGCTTTAGATATTTGTTCGTATGTTCTATATTTTTACTAAAATATTCAACTTTGACCATCTTTTCAGGATTTAGCATGTAAAATAAATATACAAAATAGGTACGCACCTTTATAAACCTTTTCGCTTTTGTTAATAAACCTAATGTGGTGTGTCGTGAGGCTTCCGGCCCGAGGGGTACCATGTCCTTTAGTTTCTCCAAGCAGCTTCTTAGATGTGCTCTTCTGCAACAAAATAAATCTGAATGAGTAAAAAATTTAAAAATGTTATTGTTTAAGAATAACTTCCACATAATTTTACAAAACCAAGTTTACAAATATACTATCCTGACTAAAATAATCACATAATGTAAAAACCAGGAAATAATATTTTTATTATATAAGTTTTTACCGCTTAATATGCAATGTGAGACTGGTATGCAGAGTCACTACGACCTTTATATTCCCAACGGTGAGTACAAATAAATAATAAATAAGGTAAGAATGATGATATGTAATCAACAAACTCTATACAATTCCCTACTGATAACTACTTTTACACTACATTTTAAATAAAACTATTCACAGACTCACAAACTTTACCTCTTTATAATATTGGTATTGATATAACTCCTTATCACTTCATAGTATAAAACAAAGTCGCTTTCTCTGTCCCTATATCCCTATGTATGCTTAAATCTTTAAAACTACGCAACGGATTTTGATGCGGTTTTTTTAATAGATAGAGTGATTCAAGAGGAAGGTTTATATGTATAATACATGCATATTATAGTACAGAAACGCCGACAAATTCAAAGATTTGTATTTCTTATGAACCGTTAAAATGCATCTAATCTCTAAATAATCTAGTTAAAATATATAAAAATTGTTTAAAATTAACAGCTAAACAAGGTACTTCGGTGCCATTTCTCTTATTCTTTCAAGTTAGACGTCTTTAAAATGACTCTATCCCGTGACCGTGTTTGCTGTAAAGCATTTGAAATTTCGGGAATAAAAATCCAAAGAAAACCACGACAAAATCCAAAAACACATTTCATAATATTTATAAACTATATATAGTTTTCATATCTAACTAAACTTAAAATAGGATATATACAAACATAACGTACGTTTCATATCTTACATGACTATAATAAGTATAGAATGCTGCAGAACGACACGCGTAGGTACAATTTGGCCACTAAAACGGTATTATGTTACTGTCGGCATCCCTGGTTCAGCTTAAACGAAACGCTCTGGTGCAATTTGCGACCGCTACCACTACTATTTGCTTGTCATTTTTAAACTATGTATTCTAAACTTACGTTTTAACGTTTAGTATAGATTTCTTAGAGATGAGATATTTTCCGCAGTAAAAAGTATCCTATATGTTGACCCGGATAACCAGCTATCACCATACCAAATTTCATCAAAATCCCTTAAGTGGCTTTTCCGTGATGAGGTCATAGACAGACAGGCAGACAGACAGACAAAAATTATAAAAACTATAGATTCGGCCTCTTTAATATGTCTGTAATATGTCGATAATAATATCTATTTTAATAAGATTTTCCAAAAAAATATTTAATGTACAGATTAGGCTTAGTTACAATTTTATTATATGTGTAGATTTCTGATGAAGTCAAGGATATACTTATAGTTATAAATGTGAGTTAACAAACATAAGGACACTCATGTATAAGTGTCCGTATGTTTGTTACTACTTTATGCTGAAATGGCTGGACGGATTTGGATGGAATTTAGCACACAGATATACTTAGAGTAACACATAGGCTACTCTTAGGTATCTAGGTACCTAGGGACGCATCGGGCATAGCGAGGGTGAGTCGCTCCTTTTGAATATTTTATATTTAAGGGTTGTTTGGAAATAATAAATTATTTTTACTGATGTAATAATATTCTTATTCATAATTTTCGTTTATTTACGTAGCACTTCGGAAATGCTGAGTAGAATTGAATGATTTTTTTTTAAATTTAAAATATGGCTAAGTTCCATTTTAATCAATCCAGTCGATTAAAGTTCAAACTTGTAATCGGTCTACGACCTTCGACCTTCCCTGAAAAATGAGTATTATAAGTGAATCTTGCTCAAGCAAATATACAATACAGTATTTAGTAGTAAAAAAAAAGATACCCTCTTCGTCAGTAATAACCAATAAATATAATAAAAGCTTACACCTAAGTCATTAAAAGCTCAGGCTTGAAAGGAAATATTTTTTGACGAAAAACGAAGAAAGCTAAGAAATAATGGTAAGGCACAAATAAGCTTTGTTAGCGATGCGAGCGGTGTAGGCACCCGCGTTCTCTTGCTACCGTATTATTTCAATAATACCACTTATACTTTGTTTATTAAGGGTAAAATATTTATATGTGAAATATTGCTAGTACCATTTCTCTTTCTGATTATAATGTATGAGCTTTTATTGTCTTGACGACTCGTTTGACTCAGTTTGTAGTGACTTGCAGTGCCAGCGGTCGCGGGTTCGAGTCCCGCTGAGTGCATTCATTTGTGAGACGGGCACGAATGTTTGTACTCCAGTCATGGATGTTTATATTTATAATTTGTATGTATTTAAAGTTATGGTTATATGTGTAGTGTATCAACTATCTGGTATCCATAACACAAGCCTCGTAGCTTACCATGGAACTACATGATGTTGTGTGATAATGATATTATATATTGTCTTCTAGAATCATTATAATATTCTAGGAAAGGGGAAATTGTTTATAAGTAAACAACACGAGCAAAGAATCAAACAAAAGCTAGTACAAAACCTATGTTTAAAGCTTACAGTTTTATTATAAAGCTAACTTAGCACTATTTTATAGCTAGCTTTACGCTCATTTTCTCACAAGTGATTTTAACGCAAATATTTATTGCCGTTGCAACGTAGCACCTAACGTTAAGGTACATACTAAAACCTTTGTATGTACCGTATGTATCCTCAGTAGCTAGCTTCTACACATATATATTGCGAGATCGTTAATTTATTGCGATGTTATTCCACCGGTATCCAAAGACAAAGTGGACGGAGAAAAATAATAATCCCGGTGAAGATGAAAAAATACTAGCAGTTTAAGCCAGACGGTGTACAGTACGAGTAAAAAGTCCTGCCCCGTATAAAAATTAAATAAACAAAATGAAGCATGGCCGTGGTATTTCATAAAGGTGCTTTGCGAAAAAATTGAATTAATAAACGAACGTACGGCTAATTGGTAGAATAAAATGAGTTCGTTGATTATATACGGTCTGTGTTTGTGTTTTCGTGGGTTATGTCTGGTCCTATACAATATGCTGTTTGTTGCAGAATTTTGGGCTATCTACATTTTTGTTAGAAGGGTTTAAGACTCTAGGGTGATATATTTTGGTATTTTAAAAAAAACTGTAATAATACGTAACGATAAGTTTATCTATACTAAAATAATAAATAAGTAGTTTGTGAGTTTGTGACGTTGTAGGGGGTAATCTCTGGATCTAATGAGCCGATTTAGATGAAATTTGCTAAGAAGATGAAGAAAGATGGAAGAGGGCGCTGACTCCTGACATACAGGTTTATTCTAGTTTGGGAGTCAGAGGCTTCAACAGGCTTATGTTTTAATAGTATACTGACATATTCTCTATTCTAAATGACCTATCCTGATAATGTTGCAAGATTTTTTTTTGTAACATTAACTCAATACCTACTAAACAACACGTTTTGCTCAGTTTGTAGTGATCCTTCTTTATGTGCCAGCGGTCGCGGGTTCGAGTCCCGCTGGGTGCATTCATTTGTGTGATGAGCACGAATGTTTATACTCCAGTCATGTGTGTTTATATTTATAATATATATGAATTTAAAGTTAATGAAATAAATAATGTGTGTAGTGTATCAACTATCTGGTACTTATAACAAAAGCCTCGTAGTTTACCATGCAACTGAGTTCCAGTTGGTGCTGTGTTAAAGTCCCAACATATTTATTTATTTATTACATCCTATTACAAGGTGTTGTCTCGTACTAAATAAACATGTATACTGACTATTCCAATATCCGTTACAAGCAAACTCAATATTAAATAACGAAAAATGATCCAAGAAGCCCCGTGCAAAGTATAACATAATTCGTAATTTAATACGAAATGAGTTCTCTAAAACAAGATATAAATTACATTTCATAAAGCGAGTAATGGAGGCCAAACTTGATACGTAGTCGTAACCTGGCGATGTATAATTTACAAACAAAATGGCAACTTTTTGTAAGGTCTCGTCATTTTTCACTTTTTACAAATGGCATCGAGCATTTCTTTGTAATATCTCAATTTTTTACTTTTCATCTAATTACGTAATATATATTTTTTACTTTACAAAAATGATCCTTTTGGCAGTGGTAGCCCAGTGGTAACGCGCTCGCTTTGGAAACCGAGTAGAGCGGCTTCAAATACCGGGTCTTGCTCCTCTGATATTTTCATGTAAGGATCATTTCCAACATGATTACCACCTGTCTTGCATTGAAGGAAAACATCGTGAGGAAACCTGCATGTCTGATAGATAGAATTAATATACTATAGAAAAGTATATTTAAAGTTTTCGTTTTATACATATAAAACCAAAGTGGGTGAATGCACGAGGTGATACCCGTTTTCCTTTCACAACTCAATTCAGATACGCCAGTGTAGAAGCAGCATTATTTTCTAGATACTGTTGTCCCAATAGATTGTCTTTGCTTCACAATTTATAACACCAAGGTAGAAAAATATAAAGTTTTCTCTATTGGATAATATTTTATTTTCAAAGAGTTGTTAATTCAGTTATTTTAAAATTGTTGAAAGAAATATGTCGGGTATTAAAACTGGATTTAATCTATACTAATACCGAATAGGCTCCGAAACTACTGATTTATCCCGGAAATCATCCCATATGGGGGTGAAAATGGGGATGAAAGTTTGCATTGGGAAGCGAGCTAGGGACGAATCCGAGCGAAGCGAGGGTGAGTCGCTAGTATATGTATATAATAATCTTTTGATTTTTGATTTCCAACGTTTCGAATGCTAATACAGCAATCATTGTCACGGGAGAGACTAAGGTTTTAGACGTCTCAAAGTTTATTATAAACCTGCCACTGTCTCTTCACTGTCTGTATCAAATATATACCTTTGAGAAGTCTAAAACCTCTCTCTACCATGATTGCTGTAAAGCATTCACAACGT